ACACGCAAGGCCAACCTGAAAGCCTAGCGTGGCTCCCACGGCCCTACCGTGGGTTCAGACCATCATGGCCCCAGTCACGTACCTTTCCCAACCCTGTGGGTGGGGAGCTGGCAGTGCAGCTGCCTAGGACTAGCTCGCACCTGTGACCCCAAGGGGTCCAGAGCTGAGGGAACCCGAGTCCTTACACTGTGGATCGAAATGGCAGTAATAGCAGCTGGCAGGAGTCATGCCCAGGCCCTGCCCCAGGCCCTTTGCACCAGGGCCCCTGGGGGTAGGCAGGGTCAGGGCATCAGTGGTTTTCCAGATGATTCTGTTGGGCAGTTGGGTTGAGAACCAGAGGCCTCTTGAACAGATTGATAATACAGTAGGTGGGCTGCTGGGTGGCCTCAGACTTTGTCACATCTTTCCTTCAGGAGGGGCCGGGGCAGAGGTGCCATGGTACAACACTCACCTCCCTTTCGGCCCATGTTCAATGCATAGCCACTACCTGAGTATCATTTAGTTCAATTGTGCAGCTGCGTAAGGAGGCCTGGGCTGGTGTCTCCATAGCAGGGCAGGCAGCTTGAGCCACAGGGAACATGGCCATTGCTGGGGCTTAACTGGGAGGCCCTGAAACCGATAGATCTGAAAGGCCCTGCACAGAATCTAGGGTCACGGGACTTCCCTAAAGCCCTATGCCAGCTGTTTCTTCACCTGAAAAAATGATGTAACACTGTCCCCCAGGTTGTGGGGTTTCTGTAAGCAAGTCCCTACCCAGCCTGCTGCCCAAAACCCAGCTGTACCAGGGAGTCAGGTCGGCTTTTCCCCTGCAAGGGCCTCCAGTCGCTGCTGCCTTCAGTCACCTACGTTGTTGCTGTGGACAAGTCGGCCCCCCAGCTCACAGTGATTGCACACACGATGGAAAGAAATGCTGCCGGGTCTGGTGTCACCCCCAGTCAGGTGTGCATGGAGCCGTTGTGATCCATAGGGCTTGCAAGGGCTGATTTTCAGCGTAGAGCCCCAGGCCTTTGTTCTAGTCCATCTTAGTCTGGAAGCGCCGATAAAACCTGTTTAGCGTCATAGCAACATCATAGCAGCACGCAGGCCTCCACTGACAAGGCTGCACAGGGGGTGCACTGGACGGGGATCAAATCCATGTCCCCGCCGAAAGGCAGTAATCCGACCCTGCACCACCACTGCCTCGACTTTAAAGGCCTGTAACAAAACCAAACCCATTGCTGTTGAGTTGCTTCCAACTCGGTGACCCGTAAGGTTTCCGAGGCTGTCACTCTTTACAGGAGCAAGCTGCCACAGCCTTCTGTGGAGCGGCTGGTGGGTTCAAACCACTGACCTTTCAGTTAGCAGTGAGCACAAGCAGTGCTCCTTCTTAAAGGCCTTACAGGTATTTATTCCTCTTAGTACTCTGATGCCCTCTAGAAGGAGGTGCTGTCATCTTCATAGCCATTCCGTAGCTGTGGGCCCTGAGCGCAGAGGTAAGGCCACTTGCCCAGGACTGCCCAGGGTTGACCCTGACACCGTGGCTCCTGGCCCAGAGCTCCTCCCCTTCCTGGCCGTGCCTGCCTGCCACTTCTCAGGACTCCTTCCAGCACGCCTTCCTCCCCGAGCAGCCACGCTCTTCCCCTCGGCTTGCCTTTCCTCAACGTTCTGCCTCCGGAACAAAACCTGCAAAGCGCCGTCTCATGTCCTCCAGGCAGCCCCCGCCCAGCCCCTCCCTCCTTTCTCTCTGCCTGCCTGCGCCTTCCACACAGTGCCAGCCAGGGAAAGGAGAGTGTCGCGGGCTGGCATTCTGTCAAGGAATTAATTGAAAAATAAAATCATTAGAAGGGAACTCCAGAAATGCAGAATGGTGGTTGGAGGCTGGAGGGGGTGGGGGGGGAGGCAGGACTAGGGGGCTGTTGGGGGACGGCTGAGCTTTTTGTAAAGTTAATTTCTCGGGTATTGATGTTGGGTGACATTCACTCGTTGTTTATCTTCGGGTGCAGCTGTAGTACGGAAAGAAAATGCACAGCTTGTTCGTTTGTTTATCTTACACCTTTCCCGGGTTCCGCATTGTGTTTGTTTGGTGAAAACCCACTGAGGCTTTTGATGTCGGAAGGGGAGCCTCGGCAGCTGTTCCCTGCAAGCGGGGTGCTTCCCACGGAAGCAGTGCTGCTGGGGGCCGGGGGCCAGGGACATTTGGTGCAAACTCAGGGCTCTGTGCTTCCACCTGGGCCATGTGGGCCACCAACCTGGGTCCCCTGCAAGGAGCTGACCCAGGTCTGCCAGGCCCATAGAGCAGTTATGATCCATGAGCGCCAATCCCTGAAGCACAGCCATACCTTGAGATAGGTCCTGTTCTTATCCCCATTGTACAGGCGGGCAAGCCGAGGCCCAGAGAGCTGGAGTGACTTGCCCACAGTCACTCAGCCAGTACCCAGCAGAGCTGGGTCCAAGAAGCCAGTCGCTGACCCGCTGTCCACGCCTCTTGTCCCATAGCAAGTCAGTGGATACCTCTGTTTTCTGCTGCAAACTGGGCATATATGCCAATCATGCCTCCCTTGTTCCTGGACAAACCAAATAACATCATGGCTTTACCTAACAGCTGTTATCAATCACCTCCCATGTGCCAGCTTTCATATGACAGTCCCAGCCCCATGGTGCCCACCACCCTCATGGCAAAGAGAGACATCAGACCAATGACTCTAATCCTGATAACGAGCTCCCAGTGGCATATGCAGTTAATGCACCCAACTGCTAACCTCAAGGTTGGAGGTTCACGGCCACCCAGAGGTGCCTTGGAAGAAAGGCCTGGCAATCTACTTCCAGAAATTCAGCCATTGAAACCCTGTGGAGCTCAGTCCCAGTCAGACACACTGGGCCCGTAATGACCACACTCAGCGCTAGCTGGTACGTAGTCGTGAATGTTCCTGCGTAAAGTCTTCAGAACTTTGAGAAGCTGGGCAGTGGCGGAATGGAGGAGCTCAGACTTTGTACTTAGATTGCATGTGGGTCCCTAGCTGTAGGACTTTGGGCAAGTCACTTGGCTCCTCTGAGCCTGTTTCCTTTAGGTGGTAGTACTTCCCCCAGGGATGCTTATGAAGTAATTGAGATTAAAGTAGTATGTAGTATTCGGTGCATTTTCTTGTAGTTTTTTAAATCTTGGTCATCTCTGTGTAGTAACCAGTAAAAAACAGTTGCTCTTGACTCAACTCTGACTCCTGGCAACCCTGTGTATGTCAGAGAAGAGCTGTGCTCCACGGGGTTCCCGGTGGCTGCCTCCTGCTGGCCACCCCTCAGTTGGATCCTGGTCTTATTTGCACCGAGCAGGATCCAGGGGTGGCCAGCCCCACCCAGGAGAACAGGGACCTACTGGCTAGGAGGCAGCTGCTGCCCCTGACCCTGGTTAGCAGCTATGGGGATTGTCACTGACAGGCCTGCAGGCCCTGTTGTATGGCCCTTCTCCTTCCCAGCTCCTATTACCTGCCCACAGATTCAATTTCCAGAGGCCATTGTGCACCTCTGAGCCTGGCGATTATGAGCAAGAGGCGAGGGGGGAGCAGGCAAAGGAGCCAGATCTGAGCTATGGCCGCCACCCCAGCCCAGCCGTGGCTCCCTTTTCATGATTAACAATGATAGACTCAGCTGCCAGGCCTTGAGGCTTCTGGGCAAGCAGGCAGCGGTAGTGGCTCTGAGGCTCCCACCTTGCTGTGGGGCAGCCCACGTCCCCCTGGGCACCCATTCACTCATCCTACATTGGGCAGATGTGCACTGGGCACCCTACTCAGTGCTGGGCAGTGTGCTAAGGCGGGGGGCTCCAAGAGACCCTGTGCACCACCCTCAGAAGCCCACAGCCCTGTGGGAAGATGGAGGCAAAGAGTCAGGGGTTGCCTTCCTCCACCGGGAAGGCTTCCCAGATGAGGTGTTGAGTCAGGGAAGGTATAGGTACTTGGACTGCCTCTTCACAGCCACCTCTACTGGTCAGGCCTTATCTGAATGGTTAGATTAGCAGAGGACTGACAGAGCAGACAGACCTGTCGTGGGGCTCAGGTGTGGCTCATAGCTCTGCCACTTACCCTTTCTTGCCGGTTCGGTTCCCTCCCCGTGATCATTAATAACACCTGCCTGCAGGGTTGGCGACAGAAGTAGAGCCATAGCACATTGGAGATGGTCAGTAGTGTTGGGGGCCCAGACACTGTGTATATTTTGCTGAGCCTGCCATACGCTCCCATATTTCCACGCTTTTGTTCATGCTGTGATTCCGAGTCCCCTTCCCCTTTCCTCACAGAGAACTCCTCTGCGTTCCTCAAAGCCCAAATCATATAGCCCTGCCTCTCCAAGGCCACCTAAAATTGCTGTTCCTTCCGTGCCTCCCATGCAGAGCTGGGCCTCCTCCCTCTGGAATTCCCAAGCAACGCATTCATTCATCTGGCATTTGTTGGGTACCTGCTGTGTGCTGGTCACTTATACGTGGTTAGAGTCTGTGGCCTCTATAAAAACGACGACAGCATTTCCTTGTTTCCCCAGATGTTACCCAGCTCTTGACTCAGCCTCTCGGAAGGCATCCAGTATCCCCCCTGGGGCCAGGCAGAGATTTCTTTAGGACATCTTTCTCCCTGCTTCCTAAGCGGAGCCGAGTTCTCGGCAGGGAGAAAGATGCCTAAAAGAGTGTCCAAGTGACCCTGGTGATGGTCAGGATGGAAGTAGGAGACTTTGGGGGCTGGGAGAGAGGCAGCACCCCCAGTGAAGCTGAGACTAACCAGTATTTCTCTCCCCTCGTGTTTTCTCCTCTTCCCTCGTCCCTTCTCCTCTCTTGTGCTTCCTCCTCTGATTTTCTCCTGTCCCCATCTGCGATCTCCTCTCCTCTCTCCCTACCGCTTCTCTTGCTCCCATTCTCTCCTTCCGGCCCGGGCCCTCTCCCCACCCCGTTTGACTCCCCCGCCCCACTCTGTCATTCCTCCCTTCCCACCTCCCAACCCTCTCGGCTGTTCTTTTCTCCTCTCTTGCCATCTGGGCTCCCACAGAGCCCCTGAAGAAAAAGCGGTCTGTGGTGTTGGATGAGATCCTGGAGCAGCTGGAAGACAGTGACAACAACGGCGAGTAGCAAACCCTTCAGCTGCGAGCTGGCACTGAGCGGGTACGTGGCTCCGGGGCCCTGGGGACTAGGGACAGCCGCTCTGGCTTCTGCCCCATGTGGACGGGCAGCAGGGGTGGGACGGGGCCACTGGCAGCCCACCTCCACTGGGTCAAGGTCCCTTCTGCTGATGCTGGACATCTCGGGCACTGACCCCACATCCGTTGATGCGTTCCGCCAGATACTGACTGTGCGAGTCTGCTCGGTGCTGGCACTAAGGACCAGGGAGGGCAGGGCATGGGCAGCTATGTTAGGAGTGGCGGGAACGTGAGCAAACCAGCACCTGCCGGAAGCCGGCCCATTTGCTGCTCTCACATCCATCCTTGCCTTGGCTCCTCCCAGCAGCCCTGGCAGTGGACAGCAGCCCCCCCAGTCTCCCAGGTGCAGAGTGTCTCAGATTTGCTCCCAGTTGCACCATACACCCAGCCTAGGCACCCCAGTGGCTGCCCCCTCTCACTTCCTGTCCCCAGCCACCCTGACCTTCCTTCTGGCTCATTCCTACCTCAGGATCTCTGTACTTGGCTGCTCCTCTGCCTGGGCCCCCCTTCCCCCACATCTTTCCTGACTCCTTTTTTTATTTCCTTCCTTCAGCAGCTGTCAGCTTAAATTCCATTCCCTTGCGGAGAGACACACCCACTTTCTCTAAAGCAGAACACTCCCCACCCCCACCTCGACCCCCACCCCCTCCCCATCCTGAGTCTCAGAGGCCTGTCCCCCTTTTAGCCACAGCCTTTATTGCCAAGACACCCAGGGTTTGAAGAGTATCTCAGTGATCATGAACCCTATCCTCGCCCCTTTGAAAGCAGGTGGCTTACACAGTTGGGGACTATGAAAGCCACTGTAATGCTATCATCCTTGTTGCTGGTCAGCGTTGAAGTGCCACGTGTGCCCACCCAGCACTGCCTGGCCGGAGGAGAAAGTCATCCACCAGATTTGGTTGCGGGGTGGGGGGCGTGGAGGCTTTGAGCCAAGGTGTCAGACTGACAGTTACTGTTGTCACCAGGGTGATGGGTCACCGAGCTTTCTGGAAGGGGAGGCCTTAAGGGTTTTGGAGGAGATGGCAGTGACAGTGGGGCAGCAGAGGTTCCACATGACCTGAAGACGTAAGAGAGGAACTCCGGAAGTCAGCCAAGGCCAGAGCGCCAGGCAGGAGGAAGGCTCCAGATCCTTGTATAGATGGGTGTGTTGAGGTGGAGGCAGGTTCATCCATTTCTCAGAGGGGTCTGTGACACCCAAATGGTCAGGAGCCCCCACCAGGAGTGTGCCAGAAGGGGACCAGGACAGTGGCTGGGCTGGAGCCAGTGCCTGGGAGGAGGGTGCCGCAGGAGGCCAGAGGGAGCCGGGGGCCTGTGGGAGTGGCCACAGGGCCCCAGCACGGGCCATGGGCACTGGAGAGCGGAGCACACAGGCCCCGACTCAGTGCAGCTGTGTTTGAATCGCAGCTCCACCACCCGCTTCTGACCAGCAGCTGGGCCTCGGTGTCTCTGAGCTTCAGTTCCACATCTTTAAAATGGGTATGAGAAGAGCGAATTCCTTCAGGGCCTTTTTTTCATGATTAAAGATTGGCTCACAAATAGAAGGCCCTTAGCAGCTTGCTTCGTGCCTGGGGAACACCACATACACGGCAGTTGTCATTGTTTTATTGTTATTGTGGTGATGATGATGGTGATGATGCAGCAAAGAGGAGTGTTCATGGCCAGCGCTAGGGAGGCTCAGAAGTCACAGCAGGCACATGTGTGCAGCAGGCTGCTGGCTGCACCCTGGAGACAGCAAGCAGGGCTGAGAGTTACCAGGAGGTGGGTCACGGAATGTATCTAACAAGATGGCCTGGAGGTGGCGTCTCTGTGCCCACCAGCTCCAGAGCCAACAGACGCCCCACCACACCACCAGGCCGTCACTGGGGAGAACCTGAGGGCAGACAGTACACGGGAGACGAGTCGTCCACTCAGTCATTCTTTGTGCTAAGCCAAACCCAAGATGGCCCAGTGGTCACCGCGGCATGGTGGGGAGTGAGGACGGACCTTCCATGGGAGCCGTGGCCCTCAAGGTATTGTGTGTTCTTAGCCCTGTCGATCCCAGGGTTACCCCTGTGCAGGGACAACATGGCCATAGTAGCAGAATTGTCTTCTTGACAGTCAAGAGAAGCTCCAGGTCGGCCCTTGGAGACTAGAACGCAGACAGGCACAGGCTAAAGGCAGGTCAGTGAGGGCCAGCAGCCGAGCGGGAATCTCTGGGTGTGAAGTCGAGGCCTGAGCCAGAGGTGGCAGGCCTGTCTCCTTCCTCGTCAGAAACGTGCGTGGCTGTCCTCAGTCACATTTGCCCATGGGGGCCGGGGAGGCCAGCTCAGGGGCAGTGTAAGCACCCTGTACTCCGGTGGGTACCACACCACTGGGCCCATCCTTGAGAGGGATAGCGTGTGAGGACAGCTTCCAGCGCTCCACGGAGAGGAAGGCACAGACTGGCCAGGCAGGCGTCCAAGTCATTCGTTCCTAGGTAGCTCCTGTGTGCTGGGCACCAGGGATCGCCAGACAGATGCGTGTCGCCCCACATGCCGACCTCCCTGTGGAGGTGCCAACCTCCCTGTGGGTGTCATCTGTGGACCCACAGAAGGGTCTCAGAGGAGCCCTGCGTCCTGCAGGGGACGGCTCTCGGTGGCCTTTGCGGTGTGTGTCTCCTCCCTTTCCCTCGCCACTCCTCTGTTTTGTCTTTTGTGGCCCGGCGTCTGTGCAGCACCTGTCTGTGCTCGGCAGCGTCGAGGAAGGGGATTAGCAGCAGCCGAGCACGCAGGCTTTGGTGAACAGCCGAGTTTGGTTTCAACGTCTAATTCAATTTGTTCTGCCGAGATTGAAATATGAAATGGTTGCCAGTCAAACGTTCAAAGGCGGCCAGGCCGGGGAAGGGAGAGTGAGCGCCTGCTGAAATTTAAATTTTAATGAAAATGACTTTAACCCTTTGGTGCGCCTTGTGGAAATGGGACCCATTCCCATCCTGGGATAATGCCTCTTGGGTTATGAACATCCTGTGCCTGCTTCTCTTTGGCCAGTAATCATGTCATCAATTTTTTTCAGCAGTATTAATAATGAAAAACCAGTAGAATGTGTGATTAGTAAGAATGTATTCACCCACATTGTCTCAGGCACTTCCCATTGATTCACTTTTCCCAGCCTCAGACAAGCCTAGGCTCCCTGTGTGATGCTCTCACGATACCTGAGTCCCATTTTCGCACCTTTCACAGCTGTCATTGGGGTTTGGCTTATGCTGAGTTTCTCTCCACTCGATGGGAAGCACTAGGAGGGCAGGGCCCGGGCCTGGTGGGCTCACTGCCTCCCCTGGGCCTGACATATAGTGAGTTGTTGGGTGCCAGCGAGTTGATTCTGACTCAGTGAGCCCGTGTGACAGAGGAGAATTGCCCTCTAGGGTTTTCCGGGCTCTAATCTTTGTGGAAGCGACTGCCAGGTCTTTCCCCTATGGAGCTGCTGGCTGGGTTTGAACTGCCAGCCTTTCTGTTAGCGGCCGAGCACTTAAACCTTTCCACCACTGGGGCTCCTCGGGTCTAACATGGTGGGCTTTAAACTTTTGGGGTTAGAAATTAGATGAAAGGACCAGATTTTAGACCCTTTATGTTTTTAAATTAGGTAACTAGTACATCCTAATTGTGAAAAAACGGGACCCTGGTGGCACAGTGGCTAAGCCCTTTTATATAAAAAGTTTGCAGCTCCCAACCTAAGGCCAAACCCCTAACTGTACAGACTGCAGAGCCAGCCCCAGAAAAGGTGAGTGGTGAGGGAGGTCACACCGCAGCAGAGCCTCCATGCCACACGCTCCCCAGCAGCCGGCATGGACCACAGCCAGCCTCCCTGGGTTTGAATCCACTCCGCCATTGACCTGTACCGTGACCTTGAGCAAGCCCCTTGATCTTACTGTGCCTCAGTCCTCTGGAACACGAGAGTAACAGTCGCCCCAGCCTCTTGGGTTGCCATGAGATTGAAGGAGTAAAGACTCAGTGTGAGGTGGAAAGGCCTTCCCGTGAGCACTATACGCAGTGTTAGTTGTTATCAACCCATCACCCACAGTAACACAGTATCCCTGCACCCTGCCAGGCTCTCTCCAACACCCACCACCCAGGAGGCAGGAGTGATGCAAGACCTTCTGGTTCATTGGCTGAATCAAAGGGGCCCTGCAATCTAATTATAGCCTTACCAGAAGCCAGGGCTGCATCCCCCAGCTCCCCTTCAGAAGCCCCACCTCTCCTTAATTGCAGCTTTCATGAAGACCATCCACTGGGGCCCAGGGGCCCTCTCCTTGGGCTCAGGCCAATAGCAAACATCGTGTGCTTGTGCAGATTCTGACAGCAGCTGCTCCGCCTTCCCGGGAATTGAAAGGAGCCCTCCCTTTCTCTGTGCCCAGTAATATCCCACGCGGTACTAGCCCCACTACCTCTTATGTCCGCGTGTCCCCTGTGGTTAACAGAACGCTCACAGGTAGGGGTGAGTCACAAGGTGGGGACTATCAGCCCATTATGCAGGTGAGGAAATGGAGGCTTGGGGAAAGGATGTGACCAGCTCGCAGCTACTACTCCGGGAAGGGGCCTAGAGAAGGCAGGTGCCTTTCTCTCACGGGCTTCTGCTCTGGCCACAGCCTCACAGGCACTGCCCAGCCTCTCCTCCCCACTTTGGCTTTCTGGAGGGGGGAAGGAAGCTGCTTCAGTGGTGCCCATTAGTGGTTCCAGCTGTGTTCCCCAGAGGGGCTGGGAGGTGGAGCTGAACAGATTAGGAGTCCCTGGGTACAAATGGTTAAGTGCTTGGCTACTAACCAAAAGGCTGGTGGTTCAGGTCCACTCAGGGGCGCCTTGGAAGAAAGGCCTGGCAGTTTGCTTCCGATAAATGAGCCACTGAGGACCTGTGGAGCACAGCTTACTCTGCAGCCCATGGGGCCACCGTGGGTTGGAATCAAGGCGAGAACAGCTGGCA